CTCTCTCTCTCTCTCTCTCTCTCTCTCCTCTCCTGGATTGCTGCGTGGAAAACAGGTGAGCTAGGGTCACTGAGGACAGGACATCCTTGGGCAGAGGCCCTCACATATGCCTGGCTTTGAGGGAGAGTCATAGCTCCGGGTCGCTCAGAGGCTATGCAACGAGGCCATCTGTGCATCTGTGGAGTTAAGACCAAGGAGACCCTGAAGTGTCCTTGGCTGTGGTAGGCTGAACCGAGTCAGTGACTGACAGGCCTACCTGCCAATCAGAAGACAGCTCCCTCTTACAAGCTGAGATGGGGCCACTGGAGTGCAGATGGCTGTTGGGAAGTTAAGGGGGAGGGGAGCAGGGACAAGACGTAGTGGGGGAGTGCCCTGGCCAACAAAGGGGAAATAGACGCACGGAGGGGAGCCTGCAGAGGCCCTGTGGGTGACCAAGAGACCTGCCCTTGGAAAGGCTGGGGCTTCCTCTGATGGCCTTCACCTGGCTTTGCATTTTCCTGCCTCACCACATGCAACCTGTGGGAAGAAGCGGGAGGAGGCCCGGGCGGGTTGAGAAGAGGTGAAGTGGAGGCCTGGGCAGTGCTGCCACCTGGTGGCGAGAGCCTGCCATTGCATCGGTCCTCACCGCCTGGGTTATTCTCTGCTGTTCACTTCAGACTGGGTCTGTGGATGGATGGGGCCAGGTCCTTGTGGCCCTAGGGGTAACCCCAGGAAGGAAAACTTTTGTCTTCATGAATCGTGTGTTCCCCACATTTCTTCCCTCCGCTCCCCTCCACATTGTTCCTGGTTCTGTCCTCGGTATAAATAATCAGTCTATAGGCTGGGGGGATGTGATTCAGTGATGGAACACTTGGCTAGCATGCATGAGGCCTTGGGTTCAATCTCCAGCAATAAATCTGATCACTATACAATTGTTCATATGCAGAAACAAATGTGTCTTGGTGAGGAGTGAATTGTGTGACCATTCATAAATAAGATTTAAGCTGAGCACCAGTGGCTCCCTTGTTATACTAGCTACTCAGGAGGCTGAGAACTGAGGATCCATGTTTGAAGCCAGCCCAGGCAGACAAATCCAAAATACTTATTAAGTGACCGGCAGCAAGCCAAAAGTGGAGCTGTGGCTCAAGTGGTAGAGCACCAGCCTTCAACAAAAAAAGCTAGACAAGAATGTGAGGATTTGAGTTAAAGACCCAGTACTGGCTGGGTGCTGGTGGCTCATGCCTGTAATCCTAGCTACTCAGGAGGCTAAGGATTGAGGTTTGAAGCCAGCTGAGGCAGAAAAGACTCCATGAGACTCTTATCTCCAATTCATCACACAAAAACCAGAAGTGGTGCTGTGGCTTAAGTGGTAGAGGGCTAGCTTGAGGACAAAGAAGCTCAGGGACAGTGCCCAGACCCTGAGTTCAAGCCCCTCAATCAACCAAAAAAAGACCCAGGACTGACACAAAACAAAAAGAAAAAGGCCCATATATTCTAGAGCAAAATGAGCATCAGTCACTCACCCTGAAGTGATTTCGTATTTTATGTCCAGCCATGACATGCCAACAAACACACAAGTCTACAAGCAAAGAGCAAAGCTTTGAACCTGTGTTTTATAACAACCTCCTTTTATCATCCTGCCCCGCCCCCACCCTGTCCTGGGGCTTGAACTCAGGGACTGGGCCCTGTCCCTGAGCCTCTTTGTGCTCAAGGCTAGCACTCTACCACTTGAGCTACAGCACCACATCTGTTTTTTCTGAGTAGTTTATTGGAGCTAAGACTCTCACAGACTTTCCTGCCCAAGCTGGCTTTGAAACATGATCCTCAGATCTCAGCCTCCTCAGTAGCTAGGATTATAAGCATGAGCTACAGACAACACTGACTGTATTTTAGTGTGTATGAGTGTGTGTGTGCCAATCCTGGGGGTTACACTCAGGGCCTGGGCACTGCCCCCTAAGCTTTTTCTCTCAAGGCTGGTGCTTTACCACTTGAGCCCTACTTCCAGCTTTTTTTTTTTTTTTTAGCAGTTTATTTTAGATAAGGGTCAGGTCTTTCCTGCCCGGGCTGGCTTTGAACCGCGATCCTCAGATCTCAGCCTCCTGAGTAGCTAGGATTACAGGCGTGAGCCACCAGCGCCCGGCTTACTTCAGCTTTTTGATAGTTAATTGGAGCTAGGAATCTCATGGACTTTCCTGCCCGGGCTGGCTTTGAACCGCGATCCTCAGATCTCAGCCTCCTGAGTAGCTAGGATTACAGGCGTGAGCCACCAGCGCCCGGCTTACTTCCAGCTTTTTGATAGTTAATTGGAGCTAGGAATCTCATGAACTTTCTTGCCTGGGCCAGGTTCAAACTGTGATCCTTAGGTCTCAGCCTCTTGAGTAGCCAGGATTACAGGCGTGAGCACCAGCCTCACACAATATAGTATTTTATTTTACTTTTGGTGTTTTTTTTTTGGTGGTGGTGGTGCATGGAATGGAACCCAGGGCCTTACACATCCTAGGCAAGAGCTCCCCCACCCAGCAGCACCCCAGCCCCTCCTCCCACAGCCACTAGCACTATCCTATCACCGGTGAAGGTACAGGGCGGTCCCAGTCTCTCCTAGTTCACATGCTTGGGGAAACAGTCACAACTTCTAGCACCTTCTTCCCTTGAGCCGGAGGGAACCATCAGAATGGCTCTGGACTATGACGTCATAGAGTCTCAACCCAGAACAAGAGTGGAGGGGATCATGGGGCTGTGGCGATGGGTGTACTTGTGGGTGTGGCTGGCAGGGCTGGGCGCCATAGACACAGGTGAAGCCAGAAGAAGGATACTAGGAAGAAGGGTGTTGGGGGGCATTGAGGGGCATTCACCTCTAGGGACTTTCTCCTTTCCCTCCACCCTCCTCGCTAGACCTCCCCACCCCACCAGCTGTCCTGTTGGCCTGGGGACAGGGTCTTCAGGACTCTTGTCACAAACTTTGCTCTGGGTCCTAGCACCCAGCCGGAAGAGGAGCGGGCCTTTAGCCCTGGAAGCTGACTCCCCCATCTTCGTAGACAGAGTTGATTTCTTTGATTATCCAGACTCGGACCAAGCCAGCCTTCTGGCTGTGGCCCAGATGATCGGAGAGAAACCTGTCATCTTTGTTAAGACAGGTATGAACCAGTTGAAGGATGCACCCCTCCCTCCTGGCGAGGGAGGGCTGGAGGAGAGCAGCCCTTTGAACCCCCGCTTGTCTGGCAGATTCCGACCCTGGGCTCTTCCATCACATCCTGGTGACTGTCCTGGTGCTGGCTTTCTTGTTTCTCCTTTTCCAGTTCTGCACCCACATGTGAGGCGCCCCTGTGGCCCTGGACCTCCCCCCCACAACCTTCCCCCCACCCCGTGTGTCACCCACCCCTGTGATCCCCCCCCATTCTCCCACAGGAGTTTTGAGAAAGGGGCTTAGGATTGGGAGAGGATCTCTGCGCCGATGCACTGGGCTTTCTGGGATCCAGCTTCCCTGGCTGATTCAATAAAGGTCTTAGCTTCCACCTCTTCCTCCTAGTAACAGACTGGCTGGGATGGGAGGGTGCTGGGGAGGGGGAGGTTCGCCCCCCCCTTTTCCATTCCCACCCCCCATCCCTTCCCAGCCCCTAAAAACCAGGACTGGAACACCTTGGTGGCGTTCACGCAGATCGTCTTTATTAGCGGTCTGTAAAGTACCTCCCAGGCCCCCCCGGAACCCCAGACTGGAGGAAGCCTTAAGAGGTCGGTAGCACCAGGGACAAAGCCAGGGCCCCCGAGGGTGAGGTGCGTGCGCAGCCTGGTGGGAGGGGGGAGGCGGGGCACCCCTCACCTGCCCCTGGGGGGTGGGGTGGGTGCTCAGCACTGGGAAGGCCAGGGGGGGCGGGGCAGCAGCCACATCCCCGCCCCCCAACCCCTACAGATTACTGTGATACGGGCGAATAAATAAAATAAATAAGATTCCTCAGGCTGGCCTCTCCAGAGAGAAGCCATGGGGGGGGGGGGGATAAGTTGGGGTTTCCTCTCTTCCCAGATGGATGGGGATAGCGAGAGGTTGGGAGGGGGCTTGTAGCAGAGTGGCCCACACCCCTGTCTTTTTTTTTGACTCCTGGTCCCCGTGAGTCCTTGTCCTCTCCCTCGGGACGCTCCAGCCTCAGGGAGCATGTACAGGGGGTGCAGGAGGAGGCTCTGAGCGCCACCCCCCCCTCCCTGGCTTGGAGCATTGTAGGGGAGACAGGTTCCCCCACTCTCCCTGCCTTCGGTCACCGGTTCTCAGCCCCTGAGGGTAGGTGACCCCCCTCCCCTTTTCGGATTCTGCCTGATCAGCCTTGGGGTGGTCAAGGCGAGAGGCCCTGACCCCCACCCCAGCCCACCCGGGTCAGTCCCACAGCCCCTCCTCTCTCTCTCTCTCTCTCGTGGGGGCGTGGCGTGGAGGGCGCCCAGCCTGCCCCTCAGTCCTGGGTCTGACAGGGCGAGGGTGGTGGGGAGCCTCGGGGTCGGAAGAGGCGGCAGGCCCCGCGGCAGATGAGGAAGAACCAGTAGAGCTGGGGAGCGAGGAGCAGAGCAGCGCCCAGGTTGACGTGCGCCGGCAGGGCGAGCGGCACGGCCAGCAGGGGCAGGCCGGCGTGGCGCCCGTAGGCCCAGTACAGGTAAGGGAAGAGCAGCACCCGGCAGCACAGGAAGCTGAGCAGCATGAGGGCCCCGTTGACTTTGTGCAGCAGTGTGTGCTGCTGCTTGTACTACAGACGGAACAGACAGAGAGTGGGGTGGGAGGGTGGGGTGAGCCCATCTGCCCCCCCCCCCCCTTCCATGCCTGTGTTCCCCCCCCAACCCCCCCCCCCCCCCCCCCCCTCCAAGCTCTGGTCTCCTAAGGTATCCACTCACCTGGATAAGGATCTTGCCAAGACAGACAAAGGGAGTGCTGACCTCTGCCATCAACATGCAGCCCAGGAAGAAATCTCCTTTGCCTTGTCTCCACACCTTAGCAGGAAGATGGTGAAGGTGATCTTGCTTGCATTCTTCCCCACCTCCCCCCCCCACCCCTCCGTTTTTCTTTTTTGGCCAGTCCTGGGGCTTGAACTCAGGGTCTGGGCACTGTCCCTGAGCTTCATTTACTCAAGGCTAGCACTCTACCACTTGAGCCACAGCGCCACTTCCAGAAATCAAACCCAGGGCTGCATGCATGCTAGGCAAGCAACTCTACCACTGAGCCACCTTCCCAGCCTCCCTTCTGACACTGCGCCCAGCTGGTACCCAGGACCACCACCACCAACCCCTTCCCCGGCTGCTGGCTGGGCAGCGATGGGGCACCAGCTCTCTGCCACTCAGTGCTGGGAGGACTTGAGGAGGACTCACCACAGACAGCGGGAAGCACACCAGCACCATGGCGGCGTGATGGAGCACCATGAGGAACTCCTTGTGCAGGTAGCCCCGCACCACCGCCCAGGTGCTGCCGGGAGCTCGGGCCGCCCCATCATCCCCTCCGTGCCCTTTGACCTGGTGCTTGTGCCAGTGGCACAGGAACATGGCGTAGATGTCGTAGATGAAATAGGGCACAGCAAACTGCGTGTAGGCAGAGGAGAGCCAGTGCCTGTTGGGCAGAAAGAGAGGTGGAGCCCGGTGCTGGTGGCTCACACCTGTCATCCTAGCTACTCAGGAGGCTGGGATCTGAGGATCTCAGTTCGAAGCCAGCCTTTGTGGGAAAGTCCCTGTGAGACGCTGAGCTCCACTTCACCAGTCAAACACTAGAAATGGTGCCGTGGCTCAACGTGGTAGTGTTTTTTGCCTTGAGTGAAAAAGCTCAGGGACAGCCCTCAAGCTGAGAGAGAGAGAGAGAGATCACAGCAGAGAGGAAGCAGGCAACTCTCAAGTGCGCAGCTCTAGCCACATGAGCAAGATCTCAAGGGATCGCCCTGCAGAACTCCGAGACAGAAGCAAGTCTCAAGTTACAGATGCTGGAACTGAAGGGAGGAAGAGAGAGACCTGTCCAAGGTCGCCCAGTCATGAAGCCAGAGAGCGGTAAGGCTGGGCCTCCAGCCAGCTAGACCTCAGAACCCACCTCTCCCTCTTTCTGTCCCCAATCTGTCTTTCTGTAATAATTGGAGGGGAGGAGGCTGGAGGGAGAGACCACAGAATACAGAATACCTATAGGTCAAAAAGCAGAGACGGAACCCAGCTTACGGCAGAGAGAAACTCGAGGTTACAGCACACAGCAGTGGAAAAAGCCCGACATGGAGTCTCTGCCTGCCCTATCCAAGCATCGACATTAATATCCAAATCTTCAGCCAGGCACTGGTGGCTCAAGCCTGTCATCCTGGCTATTCAGGAGTCTGAGAGCCAGAGGATTGCAGTTCCAGGTCAGCCTGGGCAGGAAATCAGTTGTGGACTCTTAGCTCCAAAATAACCAGCAAGATGCAGGACTGGAGGTATGGTTCAAGCGGTAGAGTGCCAACTGAGCAAGCAAGCTGATCAAGTGTGAGTCCTTGAGTTCAAGTTTGAAAACAAGAAAAGAAACAACAAACTTCTAATGGCTAACCTGGTTTGGTCCTCATCAAACCTCATGAAAGTGAGGTGTGCTTTTGATCCCCATGGAAACTGAGTCTTGGAGAGGCTAGCCAATATGGCCAAGGAATAACCAATGAGTCCTCATTCTCGATCCCACTATCCCTAGAAGGTTTAAGAGATGGGTCCACTGTGGGTGGCTCATACCAATAATCCCAGCTACTTGAGAGGCAGAGATTGGGAGGCCCATGGTTTGAGGCCAACCAGGATAAAAGTTAGTGAGATTCCATCTCAACAAATAAGCCAAATGTAATGGGAGCAGGGCTCGAGGGCACACACTAACAATCCCAGTTACATGGGAGGTATAGGTGGGAGGATTTCTGTCCAGGTTGGCTCTGAACAGCACAAAACTCGATCTAAAATATTGAAAGCAAAAGGGCCGGCAGAATGGCTCAAGTGGTAGAGCACCTTCTTAGCAAGCATGAGGCCCCGAGGTAGTGTGCCTGTCTTGCATGCTTTCCTCAGCACCACATAAGTAGAAAAAGCCGGAAGTGGCGCTGTGGCTCAAGTGGTAGAGCACTGGCCTTGAGCTGAAGAGCTGAGGGACAGCGCCCAGGCCCAGAGTTCAAGCCCCACGACCGACCAAAAAAAAATTTGTTTTGAGAGCCATCAGAGCCAGACCTAATTGGCAAAACAGAGGTGCTGCCCCCCCCATCTCCTGTTTCTTCAGGTTCGGCCAAGCATGAAGGAGAAAATGCTGAGCAAAAAGCTGCTGAGAACGGAGAAAGGTCTATGGACTTTGTGAGTAAACAAAAAAGCACATGAATATGCAGCATTGCATTTTCCCTCCTGAGTCAGCACCTCCGCACTTTCCCTGAAACACTGTGGTCTTGAAACAGGGCTGGGGGAGGGCTGGGAGGTCAGGTGTGGGAGCCCAGAGCTGGGGGTTCCCGCCTGCAATCCCAGCAGTTCAGGAGGCTGAGATCTAAGGATCCATGTTCGAAGTCAGCTGGGGTAGATAAATCTGAGAGACCCTGAATCTCTAATTAACCACCAAAACAACAACATCAACTACAACAAAACAGAAATGGAGCCATGGCTCAAGTGGTAGAGCACTAGCCTTGAGCAAAAATGCGAAGGGAAGCCGGGTGCCAGGGGTTCATGCCTGTAATCTTAGCTACTCGAGAGGCTGAGATCTGAGGATTCCAGTTCAAAACCAACCTGTGCAAGAAAGGCTCTCATCTCCAATTAACCACCAGAAAACCAGAAGTGGTGCTGTGGCGGCTCAAGTGGTAGAGCACTACTAGCCTTGAGCTGAAGAGCTGAGGGACAGCGCCCAGGCCCAGAGTTCAGGCCCCACAACCGCCAAAAAAAAAACAAAAAGAAGGCTAAGGGATAGTGTTCAAATCCTGAGTTCAAGCCCCAGTTTAGTGCATGCACACACACACACACACACACACACACACAGGAGGTGGAACCTGCCTTGGATACTGGAGGAAGAAAGTAAAGTCAGCCACACTGTCATGTGAGCAGCTGCTGAGGCGAGGTGGGAAATCTGGGGCTTGAGGACAGGGCGGGGTGTGGCGAGCAGGCTGGCTGGCAAAAGCCAAGAGACCTCCTCTCTATTGAATTTCCAGGAACCCATGGTTGCAGTGGCCTGGGGCATTCTATGGGGGAGCTGCCAGGGGACAGGCAGCTGGTTGGCAGGGGGGAATGTCAGCAATAAGCCAGGCACTGGTAGCTCACGCCTGTCATCCTAGCTACTCAGGAGGCTGAGATCTGAGGATCATGGTTCAAAGCCAGCCTGGGCAGGAAAGTCTATGAGACTGTTATCTCCAATGAACCACCAGAAAACCGGAAGTGACACTGTGACTCAAGGGGTAGAGCATTTGCATGGAGCTGAAATGCTTGGAGACAGCTCCCCCCCGGCCCAGAGTTCAA